CTCGGACCTCGAGCACAAGTGTGAGGAAGGGACTTCTCCCTCTGGGGTGGAGGACTGAGCATGGGGCCCGCAGAAAAATCTATGGCTGGAATTGCAGCTCTGCGTGACTAACTGCCCACACAACCTGGGGGGAGTCCTGTCCCTCTGTGGGCCTCAGCGTCCCACGTATAAACAAAGGGGGTGGCCCGGAGGACCATTAGGGGCTCTTCTGGCACTGACATTCTAGAATCCTGCTTTAAAGACATTTTGAAAACCAAGATCTTTGGTCAGGGCGGAGGAGGAGACCACACATTTTACCAAACCAGGCGGGGCTGTGTGTGGCGGAGACCTAGAGCGCCAGGCCCAGCGGAACTGGGGGAGCTTGCCGTAGGACGGGTCTGCCTCCAGACAGATAGCCTGCGAAGTGGACCATGGTGCCACAGAGGCTGGTCTCGCCCCCTCTCTCAGCGGGTTCTCACAGGAAGCCAGCTGGCCGTCCCCTTTGGTCACTGACAGCCACTCGCTGCCAGGTGCTATGCTGGGCACTGGCACCACAGTGTCTCAAACACAGGCCTTGGCCCAGAGCTCAGGGTAACCAAGGCAATCTCCAACCTCTGTACGCTCCTTCAAGGCCCAGTAGGAACACTCCCCTCTTCCAGAAGCCCTTGCTGGCTTCCTCAGCTCTGACTTCCCACGTCCCCGTGGTGTGAGGCAAACCTACGTCATGCCCAGCTCTCCAGGGCACCGTGACCCACAACCCCTGGACTGCGAAGAGATCAGCGCAGGCCCTCGAAGCCCCAACCCCATGCGGGGGCTCAGCAGGTGCAGTCAGAATTGTTGCTTGGCAACCAGGACTTGTGACACAGCTCACATCTGTCCTGGCTGGAAGCAAAGGCACCAACCTGAATCCGGCACCTGTGTGCTGGGGGCTCAGCTCAGAAGCTCCTAATAAGCAAGCAAGGTATTGTCCAAATGTTCCAAGTGACCCACAGAGAGAGGCAGAGCCACACTGGGACAGTGAACACACAGGCTTTGAATCCCCGGCCTGCCTCTTACCATCTGTGGGAGGCTGGCAGGTCACATAAGCTCTGTGAGCCTCAGTTTCATTGTCTTTAAAATGGGCTTATAACGCTTGCTAGCACAGTCACTGTGCAGCAGCTTTGACTAGCTAACGTGTGCAGGTGCAGCCGGTGTTCCGGGAAGGTGTTCCCCTCCCTGGCGCCTCTGAGGCCACCGTTCACCACTAGCCACACACTGAGTCTGCCCCCAGAGGACACCTTCCCCCTCTGAGGGACCCCAAAGCTCACTCTGGCCACCCCCCTTCCCTGCCTGCCCCAGGCTGGGCAATGCCTACTGGGGGGGCAATACATGGTGCCGATGCCAAGTCCTAGACCGGGCATGTCCAGAGCAACAGCCCCGAAGGGCAGCTACCTACTGAGAGCAGGAAGGATGTGTTTGGACCCGTCTGGAAGACGGCCCCTGCTTTGGGCGCCTAGCCTGGCCCAGGCCCCACTACTCTGCCCATGGAGACACCCATTGGCCAGCAGCTCCCATCTGCCCCATGGGAGAGGCTGCCCATTTCTGGGCATGGGCCGCTCGGCTCGGCTTTGCCCTTCACTCCACGGGGTGGGTAGTGCTATGGAAATAAGCACTGGAGTCAGACAGACTTCTTACTGGCTGTGAGACTTTGGTCAATTCACATATCCTCCCTGAGGCTCCGTTGTCCCATTTTGAAAATGGGACTAGGACCACCCACCTCATAGCACGGTTGTCAGAACTAGTATCACAGTATCAGATGTTGGTGTAAAGGACCTAACGGGGCCTGGCATGTGTAAAGCACTGGAGAAAGGCTCCCGTCCTAACAGGTAAGCAGGCCACCTGTTGTGATCTGTACACATGGGGTGGCAGGAGGAGGAAGGCCAGAGCCAAGGGCACAGAATCTACCCCGATTCCCCATCTGGGCTTGTTGAGAAGTCCTTGGAGAGATTTAACTGGGATGGCATCTCCTCCTGGGAGAGAAGACCTCGACATCCACCCGGTGAAGCTGAAGGTCCCATCAAATCTGAAAGGCGACTTTGTTCTTCCTGGCTTCATCCGTTATGCATGAAAGAGCAGACGGCGGGTGCTCAGGATTCATAATTTGAGACATCCGGAGACTAAAGACATTGGCCAAATTTAAACCGAAAGATGAACTTGTTGGGTGTCTTTTCAGATGATGGGAGAAGAAAGGAGAGAATTTCTTAGTCATCTATGATCCACTCAGAATTCACAGTGAGTCGGTCTGACATCAGAGGGCCCCGCCTCTGGGTTCCGGACATTTTACATATCACTGTTTGAAAGGGACAAAGAGATACGTGTTGGAGGAGACCCCCACTGGAGCCCGAAGAGAGGGGTCTTTCTGTGGCCGGCACCGTGGGGCTCACAGGAGGCCACGGGCAGCACGACTACAGGTGTGGCTCCAGGGAGGTCAGGACGCGGTGGGGTCAAGGGCACACAGATCTGAGTCTGGCCTATGGCTCTAAAGTGCTGGGCGCACGACTGCCTTCCTCCCTAGCCTGGGTGCTGCAGCAGTAAAAGGAGCTAAAAGCACTGGGGCCGGAGGAGATCAAGTTCAGCACGGCCCCAGGCACACAGGAAGAGCTCAGTGACCTGCTGTCGGTTGTACTTTGACTTCCTCAAATGTATTGGGTCCAAATGCCTTTTGCTCTGAGATAAACTTTGAGCCTGCTCAGTAGCCACCAATGACATAATGGTTACCCGCGTCACAGAAACCAGGGAGGTGGGAGGGGTGGAGCTTGCAGCAGCCTTTTCCCAAATGGGGAAACTGAGGCTTAAGGAAAGAAGTGACCGATCCAGTGTCACAGCCTGAGTGAGGCCTTGGGTCTCCCATGTCACTAAAACACTTTCCACCATCCCCCACCCCGGTCCCCACTCACACCAAAGCCACAATCTGGAGTCCACTTGGACCCTGTCTGAACTGCCAGCCCCAGCACTTGACCGCCAGGCCTGGGTTGTGTTCAGCACAGAGTTGGCTGAATGAACGCATGTCGAGGATTCACACGTAAGAATGTGACGGAAATGATGGGCAGCCTCCCCAAGAAAAATGCACACGTGGACCCACACATAATCATATGCACATTCCATGGGTTCACAGAGCCCTGGCCAGGAGGCCCCACCCTAGGTTTCCACTGCCCTGCATTGCTGGTGCAGCCCCGAGCTCTCCGGGGATGACCTCGCCGCACACCCACATCTGCTGGGTGCGAAGGGGCCCCACTGGGCTTCTACCAGGGGACCACAGACCATTACCCCTGCCATGCCTCGGCCTGTGGTCACTGCCACTGCAGCCCCTAAAGGCAGGAGCACTCCCACCCGGCCACAGGCCACTCCCTCCAAGTGCTCTTTGTATTTCAAAAAGAGAACCTTTATTACTTAGTCTTTTCCTCATTAGAATGTCTTTTGCAGCAACACAAAGCAAAGCACAAGACTCATGTGCAGACACATGGGAGCACAGACAGCCTGTCAGCCAGGGACCCACACAAAGGCCAAGTCCGGTTCTCTCTCTCTCTCTCTCACACACACACACACACACACACACAGCACGGCCTCTTGGGGCTTCTGGACTCTTGTGCCAGGGACAGCCGGTGTCGGGCCCTAACCTTGCTGCCTCGTAATAAATCCAGGGGCCGGTACCAAGGTCTGGGGTGGGCAGCAAGGTGCGGGCGCTGGGCAAGGAAAGGAACTGATCCCCGCATTCTGACAGACACTCTACAGATGCCACCCCGCCCCTCGGCCAGGCACTTCTGTCTCTGTGCTCCGATTCAAGTGCGTAGAGAAGTAGATTCTGAGAAACGGTGTGTGTTTTTCCTGGGCTGGTGAAACCTGCTACCATCAGTGCCTTGAGCTCAGTAAAGCCAGGCCCGGGAGGCACCCCCAGGGGGAGAGGGCCCTGGCAGCTTTGCTGGGAGCCCCGGGGGCGGGGCGGGGGGGGAGGGAGCGGGAGGAGGACGGGAGACAGAGGACAGACTCCGCTGCCATGCGCCGACCCAGGGGTGAGGGTCGGGAAAGGAGTGTGATGCTTCGGCGTCTAGTTTGGTTTCACCCTCCAAATTAGCATCAACACTTTCATTCCACGCAAATCGGCAGCCAGCCAGCGAGCAGGGCGCGGAGGCTCAAGCCAGTTGTCTGTGGAAAGGCACCAGATGGTTTGTTATGAAACACATTTTGGTCAGAAAAGAGCTGGGGTTTTTGGCTCCTGGGAGGACAACAAAGCCAGAAAGAAGGGAGGTATGAGCCGGGAGAGGCAACTTTGGCATCAGATCTGGTTCTCCTCTGCCCTCCACCCCTTCCACACTCAGGGCCTGTCTCCTCCTCTGTAAAATGGCGACAAGAGTCCTGACCAAGGCTCGGTGTTAGGCGCTACACACTGTCCCCGGTGGCGTGGGGAATCGGGGCTCAGAGACACCCACGTGGACGAGACAGGAAGAGTGGGCACGTGCCCGTCCAACTCGGGGAGAAGAGTGGGTTGGGGAATCCTGACGGAGAGACTCTGGGGACCCGTAGGCAGCCAGGTCCACTGGTTCCGAGCCCTGATGGGGACCATCTTGTGGAAGGGCAGACAGAAAGCTCTATGCAATGCAGCACCATCGAGGAGCCCCTGGGGGCCGCACCTGCCATGTGCGCTTTAAAGTGCCAGCTACACGTTGTCTTTGGTCAGGGGCTGCCCCTCTGCTGGGAGCCCCGGGGCGGGGGCGCAAGCCCAGGCCCGCGGGGCCCCGGCCGAAGGCACACTTGAGGACGCAGCGTTCTGCTGAGGCTGCGGGACCCTCCTGTGCTAAGGAGTGGGGGCGCCGCCAGGGAAATCTGGGTCCTTAGAAAGAGAGAAGGGACAAGAAATGCTTTGGTCACCGTCCTGACACCCACAGCAGAGCAGAGCTTGCTCAAGAGAGGGCAGAAAGCTGGTTAAAACATGCGCTCGTGCCTGACGCAAATCCGGCTTCCGAGCTGAACCAGGAGTCACTGAATAAATATCCAAGGCATCCTTCAGTTCTTACAGAAAGAGTGGGGCTAAAAGAGCATTTTCTCCTTCCTCCCCTGCTTGACTAGATGCAGCTGTGATTCGCAGGCTGACGGTGCCATCACCCAGCAGAGGGTGGCTGGGGGCCCTGGCGCCGGCCCCACGCTGCCACCATTGGCTTTGGTCTGTGTCACGTGTCCCGCCTGCCCCGGGGCGCTCAGAAGCTGAAGAGATCATCCTGCTCAACGCCGCTGCTGTCTGGCTTGTCCCAGTCGACAGGTGAGTGGCACTGGGCGTAATGGATGTCCTGTGCTGTCAATCCAGTGTCCAGGACCTGAGGGTTTGTCCGAGACTGCGCAAGCCTGGAAAGCAGAGCTCTGTGAGCCCGGGGCCCCCAAAGGGGGCTGGTGGGGGCCTGAGCAGCCAGTCCTGGGGCGGAAGTGAGAGGGCACGGGTGGGAGAAGTCCAGGACTCAGGGGCCAGAGAAGATAGTCCTGGATGTCAGGACAGGTGGCGCCTCTGACCAGAGTCTACCCTTGAGGACCAAACGGCTCAGAAAACTGTGAGGCAGGCAGGGGCATTCCCACCATGGAGAGAGGGGCCAGGGGAGCCACCCCTACCCCAACTCCACCCAGAAAGAGGGGGAAGGGCAGCGCTCGTGTGGCAGTGAGGGGCACACGCGTGGTGGGGGCGGTGCAACCAGGAGCGGATCACTGACCAAAACTGTTACAGGAAGGAAGACAACCTAAGGATCCAAAGACTGGGGGAGAGGTAAGTAAATTACAGCCCAGGTCCTTAGAAGAAGGTGAGGCAGTCAATAAATGAGGTGTTTACAAGGAGTTTTTAACAGCCTGGGGGAATGCTCCTGATAGGTCAGTGTTCAGTGAAAATCAGGATTCCCAAATGCAAATACCGTCATGAGTGATCAAGGCAAAAAGAAAAAAAAATGTATATGTATAGGATTAGCCTGAATTAAGCCCAAAAGTCTGGGCTGTGGGATTATAGGATGGTGTTATTTCCTGTTTAATGCTTTGCTGATTTTCAAAGTTGTTAATAAAGGGCATAGGATACTTAAGTAATCTGGAAAAAGCAAATGGAAGATTTTCTTAAAATGAAGGGGTTGCAGTCAGCAGGAAGACAATAAAAAGAATGTCTTTGCCTCCCTGAAAGGGCCATCTATGCTGACCCCTCACCTCCCCAGGCTGGGCCCAGGGGTTTCTAGCAGGTTCCGGCAGGGAGGGGTTGGGGAGGAAGGAGAGGGCTGCAGGGGGCTGCCCAAGGTCCCCAGGGAGATAGGGGCACCTGACTGACCAGGCCCAGTGCTCAGAACCCTGGGCTGCCCAGGGCTCTCTCCAGCCCAGCCTTCTCGGGGCCATGTCCCCAAGCTGAAGGTAGCCATTGCTACAGGGCTGGCCCCTGGGAAGATGGGGAAAGGCCACCACCCTCAGACAAGACCAAAATATCTCCTTGCTGTGCCTGACATTCCTCCTCTATGTATCGCTCCATGGGTTTCATCAAGCATTACCTCCTCCCTGCCCCTTTCCACAACTGCAAAACCTCTGGAGGGAACAAAGCCTGCAAAAAGCCAGGTTTGGAAGGCTCCACCAGGTGTAGGAAGAGGGAATCAACCTGAGGGGCAGAGTGTTTAGTTCATCTCAGATTGTGGTAGAGAAGCCACTAGGAATAGTTTTTGATTCAACAGCAAGAGCCTTTTAGCAGACCTGGCCAACCCCAGAGAGTGAGTTCCCCATCCCAGGAGGTATTCAAGTTGAGATTTTTTGCTCTGGAAAAGGTCAGAGTTCATGTTCTCAGATATGGCAAAGGACCCCAGAGACCAGCCCACGAATGCCAGGCCCTCTTCCCCAGCCCAAGGAGCCCAGCTAATGTTACCTTGAAAATGCTTCATCCAGGCCGTCATCCAGCTCCTTGGGGAAAACAAAGCAGGAGATACGAACCCTCAGTGGGGGAGCCCGTGCTCACAGCCAGGGGCTAGCCCAGCCCTGGGTCAGCTATGGGGACTCGGGACACAAGCGTAGGAGTCTGGTGAGCACCTGGTGAACAGGCACACACGTCTCAACCCGCGGGCCCAAACCTGGGGTGTGCAACAGGAGAAAGACGATCTGGGGGGTAGAATTCCCAGCTCAGCCACCACTCAAGGGACACCTTGGGCAAGCTGCTGCTCCTCTCTGGGACTCAGCTTGTCGTTCCGTAAAATGAGGGGGTTGGACTGGATGAGGTAGATGGCTTTTAAGTTCCAAGAGCAAAGAGGGCAGGGAAGAAGGTTTTCTTGCTTTCATCCACTTCCAAGCTCCCGAGGGATAACCGATGGCAGGAACCCCACAGCTTAGGTGGGAAAACAATGGGCGGGGCTCCCTGCCGCCTCCCTGAGCAGGTGGGCGGGTGCTAAGGGAGGTTCCCAAGCAGCAGAGAACGGGGCTCCTGACGCCTACTCGAGGGGGCCATATCGAACGGGATTTGAGTTTCCCAAGTCCGTCACCATTCCAGGTATTTTACAATTAGAAACGTGTGATTCTGCAAGTGATCCGAGAGCAGAAAAGGGACGTGCAGTGGACACGTGGGGAAACGTGACTATGGCCTGTGACGATCTAAAGGCGTCGGATTGATGGTAATGATTTCCATCACTGTAACGTGCTTGTGTGAGATGCTGATATGTGGAGAATTTGGACGAGAGGTGAACAGGAATGCTTTGTACTGTTTTTATAATGTTTTTGTAAGTCTGAAATTATTTTCAAGTGAAAAAAATTTTTAAATTTTTAATTAAAAAAACCCAGTTTCCTCTGGGAGATTCTGCAGGCAGAGGTCATCATCTTTATTGAGGGGATGAAAAAGCTGAGACACAGAGAGGTTGGGGGCTTGCCTCGAGTCACAGAGCGAGTCAGGGCCCAACCGCTGACCGCCAGGCCTCAGCCTCCTCCTTCAGATGGCGGAGCAGGGAGGGGTGTTGGGAGCAAACTGTGCCCACGCCAAGAACAAGGGAGCCTTTGCCTGGTCCTGTGGTGGGCCGAGCCATGGGCGCTCAGACCAAGAGGCTGTGCATTGTGAGGAGACAGCTGTGCTGGGAGCCAAGCCTGCCGGGGAGGCAGCCCCGAGTTCAAAGGGACATTGTTTGCCCCCCACCCTGGGCCTGGGCCTGGGCGCTGCTGGGCTGAGTCTGGCCCTCCCAAAGGACTGAAGTCATGGGTGCCAGGGCCTGGGCCCTAGAGAAGCCTTAGGCCTCAACCAGGGATCAGGCGGAGGCTCGCTGGATCCCTGTGGGGTCCCCAAGCCACATGACCACTCACCCAGACAACACTGCTATTGTTCAAGGCTTGAGGCCTCGGTGCCTCGTCCATGTTAGTGGTATTAGAGCTGACTGTGGACAGCGGGGCCTTGGCCGTCTCTTCCAAGTCCAGCAGGTTCCCAGTGGCAACCACTATGAGGGGTCCGGTCAGGTGTGTCAGTAGGAGGAGCCTCCTGGTTCCAGGCCTCATCTCCCAGCCCCGTCCCGGAGACTCCCAGGCTATCCTGGTCCTGAGTCTGTCCTCAGGCATGGCCTTCCCAGGCGTATCGACCAGACCACCCAGAGCCCCACCCGAGCCCCACCTGAGCACCTCCTGAAGCAGCTGGACAGCTGCCCACAGGGTGAGAATCTCACCCCAACTAATGTTTTAGGCTGAAATTTTTACATTCACAACAGGTGTTAAGTTTTTAAGAGATCACATAAATAAGATGTTAGATGTACAGAAAGAGATGTATACATATATTTAAATAGTTGCATAGAGACATATTTGGAAGAACATGCACCAAAATGAGCAATCTTTCCCTTTATCTACATTTTCTAATTTATCTATGATGAGCATGTATTATTTACTTAACAACAAAACAAAAATAAAAAGCCAAGGGTTTGCCCCAGCCCAGGAGGGAGTGAGTAGGGCCCTCTGGATAAAGGGCAGACCTGGATCAGGCAGCTGATTCTGGCCCCACCCCCTGCCCAAGACTCACAGCTCTTCAACGACGGGGTGCTGTCTCGGAGGCCCCCGCCCAGGATGTCCCCTCCCTCTTGGCTGGCTTTGTCCCTCTTCTCCTTCTCTGTGGGACCAAGGCACAGAGTGTTGCAGGCCCCGCCCCCAGCAATCCCCGGACAGGGGCAGCCCGCAGCCAATGTCGGCGACGGGGGGGGGGGGGGGGAATTGGGTCTCCAGCAGGGAGGAAGGAAACTGCAGATTTGACCCTCACAAGCACCCTGGGGGAGGGAGACAGCTGTTCCCATTTCTTTGCAGGGGGACAATGAGACTCAGGCAGGTGAAGGGAGCTCTCCAAAGTCACACCCCAGGTAGGCGAGGAAGAGGGGAGTTGGGCCTGGACTCCAGGGCCTTTACCACCCACTCCCCACTCCTCCCTCTCTGCCAGCCTTCCCCCTTCCACCTCCACCCCCCACAGTGTCCCTGAACAAGACTCACCTTCCTTGGACACCTGCCAAAACTCAAAGGCGACTTTGAAGGCCTGGGCTACTGTGAGGGTGACAGCCTGGGCCTGAAAAACAGGAAACAAGGTGGGGGGGGTTGCCTGTTAGGCAGGTAACAGCAAGTCTGAAATGCGGGCCTGAGGCTCCGCTCTGCCAAGGCTCCAAACCGGCAGGTGGGTGAAGGCAGAGTCCCGGCCCCTCCCTGGTCACCAAGCAGCCCTGTGGTGTAACAAGGCCACGCCCTCTCCAGACAGATGGGGCCACATCCTCAGCACCAGCAGCCCAGCCAAGATTCCGGCCTCTGTTCCAGCCCCCACATTTGCAATGGCTGTTCACCTCCACTTTTTCCCCCTTTCCTTTGGGCTTCTCTATATTCAAGTAACTAGGGGCTGGCTTCTTCCAAGAAGCCCCCCTCTAATTACCCGAGTACTTCACACAATAACTTAGCCCTTGGAATGAGAGAGCAGAAAAGCCAGAACTGGAAAGGGCCTGGCCACTGCCTGAATGACCAACAGCCAGAGGCAAAGGTTCGACTCTGGTTAGGCCTATGCCAGGTCGGAGGGACTTCTAACTGGATCCACTATGGCTGGCAATGTGTGCCTGTGGCAGGGGACCAAAACCATTCAGTGACATAACTCACCAGGAAGAGGGGGCCACCCCTTGGCCCTTCACGCCTGAGGAACTCCCATGCACCCCTTCACACCCATCTCAGATGTCACCAGCTCTCTCAGGTCACCTGCACTGGGGCCCCACAGGCCCACCTACCTCTCTCTGGCATCATGCCTATCAAAGTGTCACCAGCTCACATGCCTGTGACACCCCATCTGGGTGCTCCCTAAAGGCAAGAACCTGGTCTAAACACCCTGACCCTCCAGAGCAGGCCACGCCCTCCAGAGGTGCAACGCTGCATCTGCCTAAGGGGCCAGCCTCCTGAGGCCTCCCTCAGCCAGGACCTCACCCCAGCCCACATTCATTGCAGCCTCTTCCTCTCTCTGCTTCCAGTTCAGGGTTAATCACAGCTCAGCTGCTGGGCTGTGGGAGTCCCAGAGCTCAGCTGTAGCCGGAAGCGACATCCAGCTTCCCTCTGACAGCCCGAGCCTAGGGAGGAAAGCACCAGATTCTTCCAAGTGCACAGTAAGTTCAGGCCTAACCAGCCTCGGACCCCCTCCCTTTCCCTCCACCAGACGACTTGATTTAATTGAGAAATGAATCTGTGGCTACTGCCTTTAAAACTCTTTTTTCTAAAATTTAAAATCCTTAAACAAGCTGACTGATCCATGCCAATTAAACTTCATGAAGTATAAAAATCTCATTTGAATCTCTCCGTCATTTACATTTTTGATGCAAGTACAGGCGCTTTATAGCAAAACTTAAATATGGTAATTAAGTATGAAACTCTTCACAGCTGTTTACAATTTAAGCTGTCACGTCTGAATCAAGTTTAATAGACCCAGTTACCATTGAGAATTGCCCATGAACTAAAAATATGGGCTGATTACCAGCCGGAGTCAGCTCGCTATACACCCAAGACAGGGCTGGTCACCTAACGTGGCAGGGAGATGGAAACACCATTATTTTTGCCTCCAGAATATCTGGGGCATGAACCTGATACTGTTTTTGCATAAATCTACTTGTTCATTTGCATACATTTCTGCCCTTTCGCCCCAAAATCCCGAGCTGCAAGTAAACCAAATATAACCCAAGATGCACATGTGCGCAGGTGGCTGCAAGCCCAGGCTGGGCAGGGACTGGGGGTGGGGTGGGCCCTGCTCTCTGGGGCGGCTGCAGGAATCTGGGCAGCATTACAAGAAAGGACTGCTCGAGTCTGCCCACGGGGAGGTCTTCCTTCCCTGATCCCACAGGCTAAATGCTTATCCCTCCCAGGAGTGCCTCTGGCCTGTGAGTCTCTCAGCACCTGAACTGGGTTCTACCTCACACAGTTTTTCATGTCTCTGGCTTGTTCCCAGTAACCAGGCTGTGAGTTCCTTCAAGGGGCCAGGTCTAGCTCAGGACGCCCCGGGATTCCACATCCCAGCCTAGTACATAGACCAAGTCCGGCCGCGGGTCCCTTATGGCCCTGCTGCCCCAGAAGCATAAATCCTGCACAGAAGGATTACCTGAGGAATGCCGATGGCCATGTACGGGATAACAGCCCTGCCCCAGCGTGCCCGGGGTAGAATCAGGGGGGTCACTTTGTTTCCTGTCAGTCCACCTGCAGTGCAACCCTGGGCCCCCCATCAAAGCCGGCAACCCCACCTTCACTTCAGAGCCCTGAGGCTGCAGTGCTGGTGGAGACCTCCCGGTTGGGCAGATAGAAGCATTTCTTTCTGGAGGAACTCATCCTGGCCATGCCCAGCAGAAGTCACCAGGGGAGGGAGGCCTGGTGGCTGTGCTGCCCGAGCTGAGCTGAACGGGTGGGCGACCCAGAAAGGAACCCCTTCCCCCCCACCCTGGGTGGTCACCGACTTCTTGCCCAGAGAAAGGGTGGGGATGTGTGGAGACTGTGGGCCCCCAGCCAAAGGCAACGAGGGCTAGGTCAGCGTGCAAATTCAAGTTTCCCCTGCAGGCTGACTCTCCTTTGCCACCCACCCCAGCTCCAGTCACATCTGAGTCCTCAACCACCAATCATACCATTTAATTCTGCACCTGTGTCTTTGCGTGTGCTCACTCCTATGCTGGGGTGCCTGCGCTCTTTCACCACCCCACCCCTTCTCTCGGCCGGCAAACTCTTACTTATTACTCAGCCCTCAAAGCTTTATTCAAAATGTCTCCTTCTCTGGGAAGCCTTACTGACCTCTGGTGAGACTTACTGACCTCCACCCTAGAACTGAGCCCACTGTGTTCCAGTTACCAAATCCTGGCCCTTCTCCCCCACCATCTTGTTGGTACCTCCACGGCCGATTCCCTGGGTCCCTGGTGCCCAACACAGGGCTTAGCCCGGAACAGGCAGCAGCGGACCTCTGTGGAGGGCACCTGGCCGCTGGGGGGTTGCAGAACCTGAGGCCCCCATCTCACCTTCTGCCTCCTTCTCAGAAATGTCCACTAAGCCCTGAGAATCTCAGGATTTCCAACATGGCCAGGATTTCCTACTGCCCAACTTGGGCTGAGCAGAGGCCCGGGGGAGGCACGAGAATACCACTCTCACATCGGGTGGCCTATTGACCATGTCCTGCCCTGGGCTGTCTGAAGGGGGAAAGCCAGCTGAGAAAGGGTGGATAAGCAGGTAATTGAGCTAGTCAGCTCCTGACACAGAGCAAAGTGTGTGAGGAAAAGTGAAGAGCCTGGGCCCAGGTGTCCAGCAGTAGCCACGCCCCCTGCCGGACCAGGGTTCAGCCGCCAGCGCCAAGCGCCAAGCAGCGGGCAGGCTGTTTTCCTCAATAACTGACCTCTCGGCCTGGGCCAGGCTGATTTCGTTCAAGCTTGTCTAAAGTCCTCTGGCCCCAGACCAGGCCTCCTTTCAGCCACTGGGCCAGCATCCGCTTTCTTTTACCCCCTAGCTCCTCTTCCCAGAGGAAGCCTCCGGAGTGTGGCGCCCCTCCTGCCCAGGTCCGTACCCGGCAGCAGTGCCAGTGGGCCACCGCTGCCCCTGCCCAGTGCCTGCTCTGGTCAGTGGAAGGAAGAGACAAACAATGGGGACATAATGAGCCTGTATTTTTAAGTCTCTGTGGCCTCATAAGAGACAAAGCCAAGAGTCACTGTCTGTGAGAACCAAGCCGTCATGGGAGAAGCCACTGCAGCCCGGGGACCCGGAGCAGCACGAGGCCCTGGGTGAGTGGCTGGCGACACTGAGTCTGCAGGAAAGAAACAAGGTACACAAAAGAAAAGGGGCCTTTCAGAGCAATCCTGGAGGTCACTGAGGTGACCTTCATTCTGCTGATGGGCAAGCAGCCCAGAGAAGGGCAGGGTCTTATCCACAGTCACACAGCACAGCAGCCAGGACCAGACCCCTAATCGGTCTCGTCCTGCAGTGCTCCCTCCAAAAGACCTGTGGGAGGCTGAACCGTGGCCCCCAAAGATGTCCACATCCTAATCCCTGGAACCTGTGAGGGTTAGCTGGAATGGCAAAGGGGACTTCACAGACGTGATTAAGTTAACGATTTTGAGATGGGAGGTTATCCTGGATTACCCAGGGGGCCCAATCACAACAGGCCTTCTAAGAGGGAGGCAGGAGGGTCAGAGCCAGTGACAATGGACTGTGACAACAGAAGCAATGTGACAACGGAAGCAGGAGGAAGGCTGGGAGGTGCTGCACTGCTGGCCCTTGGGTTGAAGAAGGCGCCAGGAACCAGGGAACGGTGGTCTCTAGAAAATTTAAAAAGGGCAAGGAAACGTATTCTCCCCTGGAACCTCCAAAAGGATGACAACTCTGCTGACCCACTTTAGACTTCTGACCTCCAGAACCGTAAGAGAATACATGTGGGTTGTTTTAAACCACTAAGTTTGTGGCAACTTCTTACAGCAGCTATTGGAAACTAATACCGTATCTCGAACAGGCCCTGATGGGTGGCAGGAAGCCTGGGGGCCACTTAAAGACTGTGCTGTCCTTGATGTGTCCGTGAGGAGAGGAGCAGGGGAGAGGATCTTGTCTCCTTGGTTCCAAGGACCACAGGGTATGGGGAGGAGGGCTCTGGGCTCCATACGGAGGTCAACAGAGGCCAACACTAAACCAATAAACGTCAGAAATCTCCTCACAGAGCAGATGTTCAGATCTCCAGGCCTCCGAAACAAAAGCATCAACACCAAAGGTGGACTCACTCTGCCTGCTTGTCCCAAAGTTCAAGACAAAGCCCAGAGACCACAGAGGTCCCCCCTTGTCTCAGCTGGATGGGGCAAGGGGGTTAGCCTGGAAAGGGAGCAAGGAGCTCGGGGCTCCTCGCGGCCATGCAGGGAGGGGAAAAAACATGGGTTTAAACCCTCGCTCTGCCCGGCTGGCTGTGTCATCTTCAGCAAGACAGCTGACCTCTGTGAATCTGCTTCCTCACTGAAAATAAAAACAGTGAAGCCAGGAGCAGCTGCTGCCTCACAGAGCTATGAGGACTAAAGTCCACCACTGAAAGAGGCGCATGGGAGGTGCCAAAAAATGGCCATTTTCCTCCCCACTCTGGCTACAGCAAGCCAGGTCGCCTTGCCTTTCCCCTGGGCCCTCTGATCACCAGTCTCCAAGGACTAATTCCTACAAGGCCCTGAACCCCCAGACTGTCCCATTCAAATCCAATCAAGCATGTTAGAGAGGAAGGGACCAGGGCACTCACTGGTGACATGGGCCTGTCACCGCCCACAGGCCAGGCTTACTCGGTGCTCTCAGCATCCACGTGGGACTCCCAGGAATTTCATACTTCATATTAAGTGATGTCACCTCTGGGTCCTGCCTCCCCCCACCAAGGGCAGGGCTGCCAAGGCCAGAGCCTGCCTGGGCCCCAGCCTCTTCCCACTGACCAGTTTCCGCTTGGTGCAGAGGAAGGCATGGCACTCGAGATTCTCGTTGTGCTGGCTCTGTGCAATGTAGGCAAACACTTTGTCGTGCATCTTGTCTGCTGTGCAATAGGAGATCCTGAAAGGCAAGTGGGAAGTGTCACCAAACCCGGCACAGGGGCCTGCCCACATCTGGGGTGCCCCACAGGGCATCTCCCCTGAGTCCCCGAGAGCCAGCTATCCTACTCCACCAGGGGGAGACTCTGGCTTTGGCCTCTGGACCTGGCATTCTGGGCCATCGATGGGGGGCACCCAAGCTAGGCAGGAAGGAGTGGAGGGTACTCCCCCCCTCTACTGAGTCATACCCCAAAACGGTAATAGCTATGCCTTCCTGAGCTTAAGGTTCCAAGGGCTGGGCTCTGCCTCCTGTAGATATGACTTAATTCTCAGAGTTGCCCTGAGATGGGTTCTATTATTATTCCCACTTTTCAGGTGAGAAAACTGAAGCTAATGGTCGGATCACCAGGCGAGTGGCAGACCTGAGACCTGCACTCACCTGCAGATTCCAGAGGCTGTAAGCACTGCCATGCTACCCTTCCGGGTCTGTGCTGACCACACGGAAGGGGGAGCAGGACACCGCCCCGCCCACCGATGCCCTTCACCAGCCTTCCCTCCCCGACCTCCAGTCATGCCCCTGCCCAGAGGTTGGAGGAGCCCCAGGCCCTCTCTCCCAGGGTGTGGTCAGAGGTCAAGGAGCTAGGAGTCAGGTGAGGATGTGTGAAGATGACCAGCCCGGGAGCCCCAGCGGGTCCAGGAGGAATACACAGCAGCTCCCTCCTCTTGGAACACTTGCCCCCACACCCCTCCTCGTCTGTTCCCTCCCTGCCAGCTACTCAGCCCGGGAATCTCCATCAGCAGAGGAACTGGGATGGGAAAGGAGCTCAGTAAACTCCTCCCCCAGTGCTCCCGGCTTCCCTCACAGCCACTGACACAGGGATCGGCACCACTTAGGACCCCCAGGCCAGCAGCTACCTCTTCTCCACCCCAGTGGATCCAGCCTCCTGCCACCTCCCCGGGGAGGCCTTGCCAGGTCTCCCCAGACAGGCCCCTGCTTCTCTGCCCTCCTTGCTGGCAGGGGCTGGGTCTGAGGCCTCCCCTAGTCAAAGGAGGCAGGCAGAATCAGGAAGGTGAGGGGAAGACACCAGCCAGAAACTCTAAAACCAACGCCCCACCCCACCCCCCAGGACTGGCTTGTGCTCCAGGGGATTGAGCCACGTGCCTGGAGACAAAGCAAGAGGGTGGAGGAGCGCCCAGCAGCTGAGTGCCTGCTGGACAGAGCTCCAGCCTCCGTGCCCTGGTCCCAGCTCCACCACTACCTCACTGTGGGGCCTTGGGCAACTCCCCAGGCCTCAGCTTCTCCATCTGTAAAATGGACTGTCCCTTCCAGCCTTCCAGCATTGAAATCCTACAACTGACCAGCCAAGAGAGGGAATGGCGAGAGCTTAAGGTTCCAAGGGCTGGGCTCTGCCTCCCTGAGAACAGTGCCCTCCCCCCTGCCCCCCCATACCATCTACGCGCTGGCCTCCGACTCTGCCCTGAGGCCTCCCTGAATGCCTGGCCAGATGTCCAGAGCTGAGCTGCTGCGTTCACAGCTCTCTGCACCAAGCCTGACTCAGCAGCACGCCTGGGGAGGGGTGGCAGGGAGGGGGTCCTAGCCCTGAGTAGGCCTCGACTGCCTCCTGCAACTCGGAGTGACAGCAGCAACGGCCCTTTAACCAAGTGCCCACTGTGAGCCAGGCACTGTGCACCCAGCACTTCCTAACAGCACTGAGAGGCAGGGTCTGTTTCCATCCCCCCCACCACACACGAGGAAACTTAGGCTCCAAGGTCACCCAGACAGAAAGTGGTGGAGCCTGGATTCAGAAGGGGCGCCCCACCCACTGCCCCCAAGTGGCAGAGTGAATGTGGGTGACACTGAGCATACCTGTAAATGGACACATTCTCAATGAGCTGGTTGGTGATGTTGTCAGTCAGGATAATCCCCCGTGGCGACACCTTGAGGGTCACTTTCTGCAGCTTCTTCCCGCTGGCCTTGGCCTTGGGGTAGATGTGGGTCAGAGAACCTGCCTGCCCCACTTGGGACCTACTCTCATGGGCTACACCTAGCTAGTCTAAGCCCCAGACTCAAGGCCCCCGGGAGGCCTCAGCGTAGAGACGCAGACACGCTGGGGAAGACAGCCGTCAGCCCACTCTTGTGATAAACCCAGGGACAACCACTGCCCACGGAACGCCTGCTGTCTGCCAGGCCCTGGACCTCGAGTCGTCCTTAGAGGCAACAGAGCTTCTCCCGAGGAGGAAATGGGACTCAGAGGTTAAGGGAGCTGCCCAAGGACACACAGCCTAGGAGGGACTGCAGCATCTGAGCACTGAGTGGGCTATCACAACCCAGCAGGGTCACTCCCGGGGACTCTCCGCTCCACCCACTATATGGCGAGGGTCTGAGCTGAGGGGTCCAAGGCCACCAAGGGAGGTGCATTTATAGGGCCATGCTTACTCAGGATGGCCAGCTGGGGAGGGTGGAGATCTGTCTCTAGTGGGTTACCCTGTCCCTCAGACCAGAGGACAAGTGGTTGCGTGACAGCAACCTCCCCACTACTCCTTGGCACTAAGTCACCAACCCTGAGACAGGGGACCTGAGTTGGGGGAGGGGAGACTGGGAGAGGCCATGGCCACAACAGCTGGGGAGGAGGACATTGACTCTGACCCTACAAGCCCAGTGGCTCCCCTCTACCAGAGTCCCTAAGCCGGATGCTAGGGGACGGGAACAGCTCAGATTGGAATATCCAATCAGGGTAAAAAGCAGAGGATGAGTGGTACCCCAAGAAGAAGCTGGCCTTTGGCTCATGGCTCCCCCACCCTGACTGGGGCTCACCGTGGCCACAATCCTCTTGACAGCAGCAGCTGACAGCTCCTCACCCTTGGGCTGCTCCACCAGCGTCATGCCCAGGTACTTGAGGCTGAAGAGCATTCCCTCGAGCAGCGTCTCCCGAGTGTCTGTCCAGTTCTCTGGCAGCTCTGTGCAGAAGGAGAGGCCTTCAGACCCTGTCCTCCCAGCCCCCATTTCCTAGGAAGACCAAGCAAGGGGCATTGGGGTCGTCCATCTGCCATTATTTTTACCTATAATAAAGGGCCAACATTTTCCAGTACCTACCAAGCACCATGGTAAGAAGCCTTCCATGAAATATTCTCATTAATCCTTATGACAACCTATGAGGTAGACACTTTTATCACATGCACTTACAAAGACACTGAGGCCCCAGGAGGTGAAATCACACAACCAAGTCCACAGAGCCAGCAAATATAAGAGCCAAGATCTGAACCCATACTTTCAAGTTCAAAACCCAAACTCTACACTTCAAAACTAATACCTGCTGAGAGCAAACCATGCTATTTTCTTTTTTTTTTTTTTAAAGATTTTATTTATTTATTTGAGAGAGAGAGAATGAGAGATAGAGAGCACGAGAAGGAAGAGGGTCAGAGGGAGAAGCAGACTCCCTGCTGAGCAGGGAGCCCGATGCGGGACTCGATCCCGGGACTCCAGGATCATGACCTGAGCCGAAGGCAGTCGCTTAACCAACTGAGCCACCCAGGCGCCCAAACCATGCTATTTTCTCGCTGAATCTTCTACACGATCCTGTGAGGTGGATGTTATCCTTACTTTACAGGTTAGGAAACAGGCTCAGAGAGGCAAAGTCATCAAAAGGTCACATACAGTGAGGAAAGGGTTGGGAGTCAGAACTCAAACCTGGGCAATTCCCAAGGCCCCAGCCTGCTCTGCTGGTCTCCATCCGCACAGCCATGGAGACGAAGAGGCAGGGAGGAGAGGGACCAGGAGAGAGGCAGGGGGCAGGGAATGGGAGAGGTGACTGCTCAAATGACATCCTATGAAGGCTGCTGGAATCCAGGGGGTTCAAGGCCCAGCTCTGCTTCCCACCACCTGCATGTGTTGGGGAAGTCCCCTCTCCTCTCTAAGCCTAGTAATGCTGAGGCCATGGTACGGAGCAAGGGTCCTCTGAAAACTCTGCCCAAGACTGAGATCAGGAAGGTTGGGAGATGGGGGAAATGAGCCCAGCTCGCTGGGTAGGGAAACAGACCACGGGAGAGAGAGCTGGAAAGCCCCCACCCTCACTCCACCCACGCGAGAGAGGGCCCTGAGCAGGCAGAGGGACAGGAGGGCAAGTGTGGTCCTCATCAGCGGTTTGAACAATCCCAAGGTTCCTCCCCAGATCACTCAGCTGGAAGCAATGAAGCCAGAAAATAGAAGGAAGGTATCTAGGGATCCTTCCAAGCCCGATCACCAAGACGAATGAGCACCCCACGCTCCTGCCTGTCAAGGCCCTTTGCCTGTCCCTTATGATCCTTTCTCCGACGATGCTGCAGTGTAGTAGGTTATTGTGATTGTAGCCACATTGAAGAGGAGGAAACAGCTCTTCAGCGTCACATACCATCTTGGATGGGGCAGGATCCACAGAGAAATCAGTTTCCAGGGGCCAGCATGGAGATGGCCAGGACCACTTCCCTGGACCACTTTCTGGGAGAGGAGCTGGGAGAATCCTGTACTCTCCCTGCTCCTCCAGGGACCCTCGGGGGCTCTAATGAAAGAGCCACGGGAAGAAAGCTTCAGACTGGGCATCACTAGTGCCAGGGCAGCTGAGGCCCTGGCAGGGCTGTGGGCCCCGCCTACAAGGCACAGCCTGGTTCGGGGGTTCCCGCGCTATCGGGCCCAGGTGGTGGTACAGGGCCCTCCGCCCTGTCTGGCCCATGCTGCCCCTCCCAGCAACTATCTTGGAGTTCTACTTCTCCAGGGGCTCGGCCTCCCTCTCCACCAGCCAGAAGGAGCCTTGTACACCCACACCTCTCTGGTTTTGACTTGAGCAAGCCACTGTCTCTGAGACTGCTTCTTCATCTGAGAAAGAATGCATGTGTGTTGGGCAGCGAGGTGTCTTACAAGAACTTACAGGTGTACCCAGTCCCCCTGTCTGATGTCCAGGTGAGCAGGGACGTGTTGGCTGGTTATCCAGAGCCTGGCATGCAGTTGGCACTCAGTATCTGCTGAGTGAAGAAATGACCCGGACAACTCCAAGGCTTCTTTCAGGTCTGCAATGTCTCAAACCCCATCCTCAGCTCCGGTCCCCAGCCCACTGCCCTCCAACCCTTGCACCTGGACCACCACCCCGAGAGGAGGCCCAACGCCCGCTGAGAAGACCCCCCCCAAGGGACCCTATCCTCTGCTGTATCAATCATGAGCCTGTTTCATTTGATCCCCCAAAAAGAATCAGAAAGTCCCTGAGGTGACCCAGTCCTGGGTTGGGTGATGGAAGCCCCATCAGACCTGAGCCTTTCTCTCAAAGAAACCAAGAACACCACCACGTCATCAGCGCAGAACAGAGCTGTCAAGTAACACAGACAACAATAACAAAAGAGCAGCTCCGACCATTACTTCTAACATTCACAGCAACCTGGCAGCCTGGCATTCTCAGTCCCCTTTCAGAGGAGGAAAGGGAGGCTCAAAGGACATGTGATTTGTCACATTAGTTGTCTATCTGACTCTAAAGCCCAAGCTCCAAGCTCCTGACCAGTAGCCCATACTATCTTCTCATGAGGCAAACGACCTTGATTTTAGCAAAAGGTCAGGAAGAAGTACCTAGAGCCAGAGGTATTTCCTCCCACAATTCCTAATTCCTGAGGCTTCCCCTCAGTAGGTACTCAGACTACTGCTTTCAACCTGAGATGCATCTAAGCAAGGATGGCCAACTACGTGCTACCATGCCTATCACTGGTGTCCTTGACAGACATTGCTAATCAATTGCAGCTCTATTCCCCCTGATTTACAGGCTTTGGACTATTTCTCAATACAAGGCTTCAGGGAGGCAACACCAATCGATCAGGGGTGGCCTCATTCATCTCACTATCCATACCTGCCCTATAGCAAACGTCCTTCCTCCCCACCATTTCCATGTCCCCACTATCCCATTTCCTTCGGCTCAGCCTTTCCTGGCCCATCTCCAAAACCACTTCCGCTCTTTCCATTCCAAAGGGCCAAAGCTTGCCAAGGTCACAGATGACCTTTTTGTTGTCAAAACATTCCCCAGTCCTCCCTGACCTCTGAAATGCTTGGCATATTCTGCATTCTTCCTTCCCTGGCCTGACCCTTACCCTACTCCATGGCCTCCTTCATGAGGGCCCTGGTAGACCAGTTGCCACTCATCAACCTTGGAGACCCTCTGCCCAAACTCCTCACATGACAGATGACGAGGCCCAGAGAGGGATGGGACTTGTGCAAGATCACACAGCAAGTCAGAGCTTCACCCCGCCACCCCGCCCCAACCAGCTCCCAATCCACTACAGGCAATTCCCACAATGACTACTGGGGAATCACAGGTGTACCGGTGCCCTCTCCCACAATATCCCTACATGCACACACTCATTCACATGCACACACAACGGAAGCTCCAACCATGCAGAGCTTCTTCCTTGTGATGCAACATTTTCTTTCCCACTTCTATGCTTTTGCTCAAGGAGTTCCTTCTATCAGAAATGCCCTTCCCTTTATTTGATTGAAACCCCTGGCATCCAGCCTCATCCAGGAAGCCTTCTTGAAGGCAGGACTGCCTGGCAGTTAAGAGCAAAAGCCTAATCCTAGAAACCCAGTTCTGACATTGAGTGATCTTGAGCAAATGAATTACCTTCCCTGAGACTCAGTTTTCTCAGCCATAAGATGGGGGAAACAACTGTCCCCAGCTCACAGGGCTACTGTTTTGACCCTTTGATGAGATAATAAAATTAGATAATGAGATAATAAACGTAATGTGCTTATTAGCACAGAACCCCGCCCATGGTCACGCCTCTTGATGGGGCCTCGTCCCTCTGTGAGCAGGTCGCCTGTGCCTCTCTTGAGCGTGGATTTCCTTCTCTTCCTTCTCCAACCACATCACTCACAGCCAGCAGCTGTCTACCATGTGTCTTCCTCTTAAAGGACTTCTGTTCACGTGTGTCTCCCCCCGGAACTGGAGAAGGTACATTCCTGTCCAGTGTTGCAGCTCTGCCTTGTCCTTTTCCCCCTTCCCATTAAGCCGTCCTCCCAGGCCCAGTGAGATCCTCCTTCCCCTTGACGGAGGGAACCCTGCCTCTGCTCCTATACTGTCCTTCTGGGCATGACTCATCTCTTCAATGAGGTGGAAGGTCTCTCAGGCCCTACACCCTCCCTGAAGAAACCCACACCTAAGAGCACTCAATAAGGCAAACGCAGAGTTGGTGCCTACTGACCAGCCAGCCACCTCAGGCTGGAGGCCACATGCTCCTTTCTAGGAGGAGCCCGGGGCCTTCAGGAAGAGCTCCCAGAGGCCCTCAGGCAAATACAGGCCTGAGTCCACAGCCCTGTTCCGGTCCTGGTTATTTTTGGCCCTGTGGTGGATAATGACTGCGCTATTTTAACTTAGCAATTTTACAGATGACCTGCTGTCAAGAGTTAGCTGGGGATGGACCATATGCCCAGTTTAACTCATGGCTGCAAACACGTGCTCTCTCATCATTAAGCCCCCTGCCCAGGACTCAGAGCTGGGCAGGGGGCCCCTGTGCCCCTCTTGCTGCCCAGGAGACCCAGCCTGGCTGGTGTCTGGAACATCAGAGTGATAGCCAAACCCATGGACCAGGGGGAACCTCCAAGGGCCCTGGCCTCCAGACTCCTCCAGCCTGGTGGGGAGGTGGCCTCAGAAGCCACTAATGTCTCGGAAAGGGACTCAAGCTCTGCCATGACCCGGAATGTAGCTGCTTCTCTAAGGCCACAGTCTCTTTATCTGACAAATGGGTTCAGTTCCTCAAGAGCATCATCAGAGACAGGCTCAGCATGTAAAAAGTGCCAGCAAATTTCAGAAGTTGTTAAGATTATCAAAAGAAAATAATTAAAAAAATGATCACAGCATAAGCTCTCATTTCCTGGGTACCTACTTACTCTTGTAAGAGAAAAACGTGCTGTCAAGGTTGAAACCATGGGGTCTGGAGATGGGCTGTGGGGTTCAGTCACTCCACCTCCCTGGTCCTCAGTTTCCTCACTTAAAAACTGGGACAAGAAGCATGTCCACCCCACGGGGTTGCTGTGAGGATGAAGTGAGTTCACATACCAGGTGGGCTTAGAACCATGCCTGGAGGGCCACTGAAGTGTGAGCTACTGTCATTACCAAGGGTCCAGGGCTAAGAGCTTGAATGTGCACACAGCCATTTGCAGTGTTTTGTGAGGAGAGGCAAGGATATATTAGGATTCCCACTTCACAGGATAAAGAGGCTCAGAGGAGTCTGGCCATGACTCTTAATTGACAATGCTCGTCTTTGCCTCCCGCAGCCCCTTCTGTTCACCCATGCCCACAGCCCACCAAGCCCCTTCCCATGTGAGGCAGGGGTCACGCGCAGGCTCACCCAGAGGGGTGGGCATGCTGTCCTGCACGGCTGCCTGAACAGAGTGCCCCTCAGTGAGCAGGGGATGACCTAACTCCTTCAAGGCACATATGCCTCCCTCAGCCACCAGACCTGTGAGAAGCAGGGCCCCAGCCTCCAGTTAAATGTCCCCTGCACCTGCTGCTCCCTCTGGCTGGAAGGCTGTTCCCAGATTCCTCCCTCCCGTATTCTCACATGTGCTCCAAGTCATCTTCCTGGAGAGGCCTTCCCTGACTGCCCGCACTGACGCTATCAGCGCCTCACCTTTATCCCCTCACTGGGCACCATTTCCACACACGCCACCTGACAAGCCACCTCTCTGCCTGCAGCTCTCTGGCTACCGGAGGGGCCAATGCCCATGCACACTAGGGTATTCAGGGCTCCCAACCCCGAACCCACCGCTGCCAGGAACTGCCCCTCAAACAGAGTAAGTGAAGAGCACATTCTCCACTGCCCCCCAAAACTCCCCATGGGATGGCGCTCCAGTCACCCACGCTGGTGAGTGGCTTCATATTGTCCACGTTTTGGACTTTCTTCCCTTCCCACTTCTCCTGAAGATATTTCCTGAGATCCTTTCCCAAATAGATGACTCGCACTCAGATCCTTCTCTCAGCACCTGCTTTCTAGACGAACCCAAAGAAAGATACCCCTCTAAGGAAGTGGTCCCCGCCATTTCCTCAGCCCACTTTATCCTTCTGCATGGTGTCACCACTACTTATCACCAAACCACTCATTTGCACCCTGGTCATTCTGCTTCCTCCACCAGACCGTGAGCACCACTGGGAGAAAGACGGACTTGTTCACCAGACTCTCCAGTACCTATCAGGGCATGTCACATAGTCTGTGATCAATAAGTATTATGACTTGGGGGTTTATTTACAGTATCTTTTATTGTAAATATTATAAGTAAGTACAAATAGACTCTCTGTCTCCCACATACCACCATACTCTAGCTTTTCTGGAACCTGTATCTCGTATTTCTTTACCTGCTCAGAGTTCTCTGACAGCTTGTAGGGAGCCTGAAGATCAGAGGGACCCCTCTTGGAAAGAAGGGTACTGAGGGGCCAGGGTGAGCCACCTTTCAGGCAGCTGGAAGAAAGGAAAATCCCTGGCTAGTGACTGAGATTAAGTATTTATTTTATGTGAATATTTATTGAGATGGGAAAAAGGCCATGTGTGGGAGCGGGAGATAGTTCTTCAAACTCAGGACCAGCTGGGAGACAGGGGGCCATGAGGTTCAGTGCCAAAAAGCGTGGGGTTCTAGCTTACTGTGTGACCTCAGGCAAGCTGCCTCCCTTCTTTGGGTTTCAGTTTTTCCACAAATGAAACAGTGATCATGCTAATCCCAGCTGAGGATCTTGAGTGGTTTGGTGAGGAGCAAGTCACAGCTGATAGCAGGTGTCAAGTCTAACCTTAACTCCCCTGGCTTCATTTTGGCCCCAAAAGTCAACCACCAGGCTCAGTTCCAGTTGGCCGGAACACCACCTCAGACCGAGCTACCCCAGCACCTCCACCCCAGACACACCCCACCGCGTCCCTCTCTACCTTGTGGCCACCACTGTTCTCAGGGGCTGTCAGCCGTCAGCCCATCCTGGGATGGGGCCTGCCCCAGCTCATTCCGTGGCCAGAGTCCAGGAGGCACGGTGATAAGACCCCTGGGCTGGGGATTCAGAGTGCTACCTCTAGGAAGCTGTGCTGGAGCCTGAGCCTCCGGTCTTTTATCTCTGACAAGGGTCTGTTAAGAATCCCTGCTCTGTCACCTCACAGGAGCAAATGAAATAACAGAAGCAAAAACTGTGTAAAACATAAAGTGACAAAAGCAGTAGTTACTATTTATTGAATCCCTTTGCTATTCCAGGCAAAACACTATTTCATTTAATCCACACCAAACACCCACACCCCTCCCCGACCCCCCCCCCCCCCCCCCCCCCCCCCGCCCCCGGCCGGGTACTACCATTATTTACAATTTACAGATAAGGAAACTGACAATAAGGAGGGACAGGTGAAGGTTCCACCCAGATCATTCTGGGTCCAGAAGGCTCAGGACAACACTCTGGGGGTCTGCAGGGAAGGGGGGTTCTCCTCTCCTTTTCTCTGCAGGTGTAGATAGGCTCTGAGCCCCCAAAACTTGTTCCCCCGCAGTAATAGTCATGTTGAAGGTCCCCATGACACGAAGGGGGAGTGGGACAGGAGGAAACCACCAATGAGGTGCCAGTAGGAAGCATTATCAAGAATTTTCTCAACACCTCCATCAGGTTAGAATTTTTATCCCCATTTTTCTGGTGAGGAAACTGAGGGTCAGAAAGGAAAATGACTTGTCAAGATCAGAGCAGCACAAGAAACTCTTTTCCACCATCCAAGGTGGCTACCTCTCCCCCTTCCCCAGAATCAGAGAGGCTTTTAAGCTTTCTTCCCTTACCCAGCACGCCCTTCCTCCCCCACCCCAAAAGAACTGCAGGGTTCCACCACTGGAACAAACCATTATTCTCAGAAGTCCCAGTCAAATCCCTTAAGTTATTTAAAGGGGCTACTTAGGGGCCACTAAGTGTGGGAGACAGTGCATCCCTGGCCCGGGCCTAGACCAGCCCTAATGGGTCTCTGACCCCACCCCCACCAGCAGGCACCAGCCCATGTTCCCAGTGCCAGTCTTGGTTTAGGAGGTGGCCACAGCTGGAACAGCAGAGTGGGGCAAGAGGGAGGGGAAGGGCGGGCTTTCTAGGCCCAGACACGCTGGCACTGGGAACTCGGGCTCCCCTGGCGGAGCCCTGGAAAGAAGGAAGGGGGGGTGGGGTGTGACTGTACTGTCAGGGGTTTCTTGGAGGGGGAGGAGAGCGAGGTGGGGGGGAGGGGAGTCATCCCCTGGAGGTCCCAGGTGTTTGATAGGAGGGTGGGAGTGTACAGAAGTCTTGGCTCGGGCTCCACATCTACCAGGAAGGCCTGTGTGACCCCAGGCAATCCACTCCCTTTCTTCTGGAGAAAAAAAGAGGGACTTGGGCTGGGTTTCTCAGGCCTCAGGGGAACGTGCCAGGTGACGGGTTCCCTGAGAGTAATCTGAGACGGGGAGAGAAGGGGGGGGCCCTCCCAGCCTCCCAGACGCCCCCGGGAGAAGGGAGAGGTGGCAGCGAGTCTGCCATTCGCCTGGGCGCCCCGGGACTTCGGAAGCCCGAGGGGTAAAGTGCGAGAGAAAACAGGTTTCAAAATTAGCCAGAACGCCAGCCTCGCCACCGAGACGTGGGAAGAGGAGGGGACGCAGGGGTCTGGAAGGCTCGGGGTGTGGTACCTTCTGAGACCCCAGGCTGAGCCTCGCCCCCCAACCTTATGTAGGTACCTGCGAAGCCCGCTCACACCTGAGTCGGTTCCTGGACGCCTGGGGGTCCAAAGACGACCTCAAGGGCTGGCGGTGGGGCGGGGGGCACGCGGGCTCCCACCCGCCGCGGACCTCGCGGCTAGGGCGCAGGGCTGCGGGCATCTCCCCAAACCCCGGTGCCCACTCCTCCTCCCCCGGGCACTGTCTCCCCTAAGCTGCCCAGCGCGGCGAGGTGGCCAGGTGCCGGGGTTCGCGCAGGTCTCTTCCCCTCACCTGCGGCCCCTCCGACTGCCGCCTGCACCTGGGGACCCCGAGCTCCGCTCTCCCCCCCCCCCCAGCTCTGCCCCTCCTCCCCAGCCGCACAGAGCCGGGACCGGAGTGGGAGCCCGACTTGACCGCGGGCGACCCCCAACGCCGCAGGACCGGGCAGGGCCGCAGGGCACCGGGCAGACCGCGCCTCTGCCCCCGGCGCCCGCGGGAGGCCGGTCCGCTCCGCCCGACCCCCGCCCGGCCCGGCGGACGCGCACACACTCACTCCGATGCCGGCCGCCGCCCCCCCAGCTCTGCTTGGCGAGGCTGGGGCTCCGGATCAGCGCCCGCCCGGCGGACTTGAGCGCGTCCATGGCCGCTCCGGCTGCCGCCGCCAAAACTCCGTCAGGAAAAACTTTCCGCCGGGGCCGCGCGACGAGCGGACTCCGCGCTCCTCCCCCCGCGGCGCGAGCTCCACGCCGACGTCCGACGGGGCGGGATGATGGCCGGCCAGGCCCCGCCCCCGGGCCCGCCCCCCGGCCCGCCCCCCGGCCGCCCTGCCTCGCCCCGCCCAGCCCGGGCTCCTGCTCTTGCTCTTGCTCTTGCTCTTGCTCTTGCTCCCCAGGGGGTCCCCACAAAGGACACCCCTAAGGTAGAGGGCCGAAAGCCCTAGAAGGCCCTTCTTTTCCTCCAGGTCCCAATCCCCTTATTCCTAGGATTTCTAGACAGCCCAGCTGTAAGGTACTTGAGGGCCATTTTACAGATGGTCAGACTTAGGGTCGGAGAGAAGGGTGCTGCCCAGGGCAATGGGAGGCTTAGAAGGAGAGGTGGGAGTAGTCGAACTTTGCTGGGAACCGGGCAGGACTATAACAGTTTTCCTTAGTAAGACCAGCTGGGCATTTTACTCACCCAACAGCACCCAGGCTGCTCTCTGGCACCACGTGGGCACCTGGGCTGCCCCACCCCACCCCACCCCACTCCCCATGTAGTGATATGGCCTGGGTGTTATGCTCTAACACTGACTTGCTCTGTTACCTTAGGCAACTCCTGCCCCCCACTAGGTCTTAATCTTTATCTGTCAAAGGAGATGGGATCCTATTTCTAGTGATCCTTTCAATCTGCCGTGGCCAGGTGCTGCATGACCTTGACCCAGAGCCTCCCAAGCTTTGTAGGAGGCATTTTGGGGGGGGGGGTCTGGATTCTAGAATTCCTCCAGCACAGATAGTCTAAGTCCAGGATTTAGAATTCTCTCTACGATCCTATACCCTCCCGTTAGGCTTTGCAGTCAAAAGAGCACATGCCTCCGTGCCACAGTCTGGCTTCTTCTAGATGGGGAGCTTCGGCAAGGTGAACTTCAGCCTCTAGGATTGCTGCTAGCTCAGAAGACAGGAGTCCTGGTCTTGTGTTGGGGGAAAGATGGGGTTGTGCTGTCCCCAGCTGGGTAGTGAGGCCCCACTGACATTCCTTTCTCGGTTTATAAACTAAGTGCTTTCTCGGCCATCTGTCCTTTGCTCCTCCAAAACCCTGCAGCCAGCAATACACCCACTTTACAGATAAGATTCCAAAGTCTGGGAGAGAAGCACTCAAGAAGGGTCTCTGCAAGCCAGAGGTTGGGATCAAGCTCAAACCCAGGCTTATAGGCCAGAGTGGAATGCTGGGGATTTGAACCTGACTCCTTCTTTTGGTGGTTGTGAACTCACCTTTCTGAGCCTCATCTGTAAAAGCAGCAACAACACCTATTCCACCAGGCTCTCTATAAGAATTAAAAACATGAGTTCTTGAGTTGGAAAGGCAGAGGGCAGTCCTTGAGAACTCACCTATGAAGTTGCCTCCTCCAGAAAGCCTTCCCTGACTGCCACCCATCTGTTAGGCTTCTGTCTTTGGGATCTCACAGACCTGAGCTCTCAGCATTGTGAGTGTTGCTGCTGCCTATTTCTACTCTGATTGCCTCCACTAGACTTTGGGTCCTTCAAGGGCAATAAGTTTTTCTGATTCATTTCTGAACGCCTAGCAAGGGGTCCAAATGGAGTTGGAATATAGTCAATGTTCCTTTCCTCCCTCCCTCCCTCTCTCTAGCTTTTTGCCATATGAGGCTGTCTTCTCCCACAAAGGGCTGTGGCGATGGGTAGGTAGGTCCTCAGGGCTGAGCCCCCCAGCTCTCTTAGCCTGAGCCTTCTGGGTCCTGGGGCAGTAGAGAGAGAGAGCATTCTGGATCCCGAAGGAAAAGCAATCACCCAGGGCTGGCAGGTGAAGGGCAGCTGGTGGTGTCCGGCTGGCAGGGGGCACCATATGGGCCTAGTGAGCAGGCAGGCCTGGGAATGCTGAGCCTGCAGTGAAGGCTGTTTCCAGGCCCATCACATCGTCCCGGAGGTGACTTGCTGGGAGCTGTCAGCCATGCGTCCCCCACAGAGGGGCGGCCTGCCTGTGCCCCTTCTGCCAATCCAGGAACAGAAGCAGAAACAGAAGGTCAGAGCTGCAAGGGGCCTCCTCTGAGGTCACCATGTCTAAAGCCTCCTTTCACAAGTGAGGAGCCTGAGGCCCAGGGAAGGGCAGGGACTTGCCCAAGGTCACACCGCGAGCCAGGACAGGGAGCCAAATCTCTTGCCTCTCATCTTGGATGCTTATAAAAACAGAGAGAGAGCAGAGAAATCTTGAAAATACACCAGTATTCAAGGAAGAGTTTTAAGGTGATTTTTTTTTCTTTTCTCTCTCTCTCTCTCTCTCTTTTTTTCTCATCTGATCTAACTTTGTAAAAAAAAAACTTGCAATGATCATATAGCCTTTAGTAATCAGAAAGAAAAATAAAAGAGAGGGAGAAGCTACCTCTGGTTATAAGTGGCTTTTGTCTTTAGGAAAATGGTGCCAGAATTGTAATTTTACTGTTTTCTCCCCCACGGGACCCTCATGAGACCCCAGTTAGAGAGTGGGTGCCAGCAGGTTGGGAGGGCTCTCGGCTTCTCTCCAGCTATCACTTGGGCTTGTAGTGGGACCAAGACAGAAGCCTAGCCTAGGACCACGAGCCCTGATTTCCTCAAGCGATCTGTCCTCCTTACTTGCCTGAGCCAGTCCCTTTACCTGGGTTGGCCTTAGTTTTTCCATCTGTAAAATGGGAGTTTTTACAGCAGAGTGTGTTTTCTTGCCCCCCACCAGCAGAGCACAGGGCTTAAACACGTGGATACTGGAGCCCGAGATCCTGTCTCCCCTACTCCTTTACTTCATGACCTTAGGTTGGTCACTTAAATTCCACAGACCTCAGTTTCCTCATCTGTAAAATGGGGATTATATGTCATGGATGGTTGCAAGAATTAAAAGAGTTAACATTTGGAACGTGTTTAGAATTATACCTGGCCTATGGTAAGTGCTATATACATATATATATGTATATATATATATTGCATATTTTAATAAAACTAGAATCACTTTTCTGACTGGATGAACAGTAAAGGTGGAATGGCTATTATTATCATAATTCTTGACTGGCCCTCAGGGAAGGGAGCTCTCTTGCGATTGGAACCAGCCTGGCCCAGTCTGGGCTGCGGGTAGTCCAGCCTCCCAGAGTTCCCATCCCCACGCCCGACTGCTCAGCACTCTCTCAGGGAATCAGAGGGAACCTGGGTTACTGGTGAGTCAGAAGCCCAGGGATTACTGCTTAGACTTGACCTTTTGCCTGACCTCTCCTACCTTCTGTGTCCCATGGATCCAACTGCTCCAACCAGTTGCTTCTGAACCCTTCCCTCCTCAGACCCTTCCCAGGCTGCTTCCTCTTCCAGAAATATCCAGCCAGATTGCCTCCTCAACTTTTCCAGACTACCCACCTTTGCCCCAAAGATCTAGTTGACCTCCTCCCTAATACCCAGTCACAGCTACCTACACACTTGTCTTCCCTGGCGAGCGACGACAACTGTTTGACCTTGGAGTTCTACATATTTGGGCCCCGAAACCAGATCCTCCGTCTATATGTATGCAATCTTAGCCAACTGGGCTTCAGTTTCCCCATCTGTACAGTGGGCATAATACCTGCTTTAGAGAGCTTTGTAAGGCTTCTGTTGGATAATACGGGGGGAAATGCTTGACCTAGTGCTTGCCAAGTGGGCAAGTGCTCAGTAAATGGTAAGTCTGGCTACATTCGTGTTTTATGGTTCTTGGTGAACCTGTTTACCTCCTCCAGCAACTGAGCATGCCCCAAGCATGGGAGCTGGGAATCATCCTTCACCCCAGGGTTCCCTGGAGCAGCTGACCAGTGCCTGGCAGCGAGGAAGTGCCCAGTACACATCCAAGGACTCCACTTAAGTTCTGTCCTCTGGTTCTCAGCATGTGCCCAGCAAGCAGGTGACCCTCTGCAGCTGGAGAAGCAGCAGCACCTAAAGGGGCTGGGGAAAGTGCTCCTGAGGGGCCCCTACCCACCCAGACTGCCCACCTGGGTAGGACCAGCAGCTGTCTCCTGCTTCCACAGGGAACTCTTTGCTTATGGAGCTGCGGAGCTAATGAAGAATGACAAAGCACCATGTAATTGCCAGCAATTGATGAGTCCCCTGCCTCTTCCTGCCCCTCCTTCCCTTTGCCCTCCTTGGCACTGTCTGGCCTGGAGGCCTGGCCCGGAGGCAGGTAGAGTGGCAAAATGGAGCACAGACTAGTGTCAGGGGACCTGGAGGCTGGCTGCTTCTGCCACCCTCTGGCGTAGGACCCTGGCCTCCATTACGTTGGCTCCATTTCCCCATCTGCAGGGCTCCTGACCTTGTGTTACGAGCAGGGACAAGGTTACGGGGCCAGGCCAAAGGGCTCTGCGGAGGGACTGGGCTGCACCTGCCAGGTGGGTTGAGGCAGACAGCCTCAATAAGGCAGACAGCCCTGGGTTTAAGTCCTAGCCCCGCCTCTCACCTGCTGTGTGATTCCGGGCAGGCTGCTTACCTTCTCTGAACAACAGATTCCTCATCATCAAAATGGGATTTGTTTGACAGCACTTAGCTCTTACTAGGAGAACCCTCATTTGTCCTAGATGTGTGCGTGTAACAGAGACTCTCTGGACAAGCGCATCTCTATCAAAGTGAACACAGAAATTAAGGGTTGAAAACTTGTAGTGCAATTTGATTGAACAATTGTATGTCTTTAATGTCATAATAGAAAAAAGGCTTGTATTTTTTTTTCATTTTATTTTTTAAGTAATTCATTTTCCTTGTATTTTATAAAAGTATTGGTCTGTGACAGATTAGAAATTTTTTTAAAAAGGGTCCTTCTCCACGGATGGTTTGAGAAGCATTGCTTTAGAGAACCTTGTAAAACAGATGTGGTAACAATCCCGCCACATTTTCATAGTTCTAGGGTGTAATTTCCAGGGACCTTCCACTTCCGTGGCTCCCAAGCCTTCAGGATCAAGACCAAATCTCTTAGCCTGGTTTCAAGGTCCTCCTTACTAAAGTCCCAACCTGCCTTCTCATCTTGCCT